TGATTGCTTTGTTAAAATTATTTTACATATGTCGGTGATAATTTTCCAATTTGATGCTTGTGACTCGTGTTTGCAGGTTGATGTTAATACTGAAGTGGGGGTTGTCAGAGATATCCGCCTTAAAGAATTACGCATATATACAGATTATGGTCGTTGTAGTCGTCCATTATTTATTGTGGATAAACAAAGGCTTCTCATTAAGAAAAAGGATATTCATGCTCTACAACAGAGGGTGAGCAAGCAGAAACTGTGATTTATCTCAGTAGTTGAAATTATTTCCTGCAATTGTCTCACTTGTTCATTATGTAATCAGGAATCGCCAGAGGAAGGTGGGTGGCATGATCTTGTTTCCAAGGGGTTTATAGAATACATTGACACAGAAGAAGAAGAGACCACTATGATCTCCATGACCATTAATGTTGGTGTTCCAAATCTCGATTTGAATATGTAAGTGCATTAAGATGTTATGAAGCGTTAAGGAAGTTAATGGTTAATAAAATGTAACAGGATCTTGTTCAAGCAAGGCTCAACCCAGATGAAGCTTATTCTGATACTTACACTCATTGTGAAATCCATCCATCATTGATTTTGGGTGTATGTGCGTCCATTATACCCTTTCCTGATCACAACCAGGTAAATGGGTTATTTTGGAGTCCTGTTTCTGAACAACATAAGTTTTGTGCTTCATATCACTTATATATTGTTGATTGTTGATGCAATCAGTCACCGCGTAACACATATCAGTCTGCTATGGGAAAACAAGCCATGGGGATATATGTAACCAATTACCAATTTCGAATGGTACGTTTTTAACTGTCATTTTTTATGTTTTTCTTAATCTATATCATTGTTGACTCGAGATAATCATTATTTTCTTTTTTCCTTTCAATTAGGATACACTGGCCTATGTACTTTATTATCCTCAAAAGCCACTGGTCACTACAAGAGCCATGGAGCATCTCCATTTTCGGCAACTTCCTGCGGGAATTGTAAATACCCACTTGTTTCTTATCATTTTCTTGTGAATTATATTGGTTCTTGATCTCACATGTTTTCCTTCCATTTATCTTAGAATGCAATTGTGGCCATCGCATGTTATTCTGGGTATAATCAGGAAGATTCTGTCATCATGAATCAATCTTCGATAGACCGTGGATTCTTTCGGTCTCTTTTTTTCCGTTCATATAGGTGTGTATGGAACCAAAAGGTTAATTACACGCCTTCCTCTTGCTGGAAGTCCTCGTTATTTTTTTAAGATGTTGCCTTTTAAACTTTTGAAGGGATGAGGAGAAGAAGATGGGAACTCTTGTCAAAGAAGATTTTGGTCGACCAGACAGATCTAATACCATGGTGTGGATTTAGGCTCTGCGTTTGCTTTTTATGATTCTTTGTTGTAGGAAATAAACTAAGTTCTGTTTTACAGGGCATGAGGCATGGCTCTTACGATAAGCTAGATGATGATGGTCTTGCACCACCTGTGAGTATATTTAACCTGCGCTGTGTAAAATGAGAATATCTGATACTGCTTGTCCTGAAATTAAGCTTATATAACGTACTCAAGCAATTTATTTGCTTTGTAATAGGGTACTAGAGTGTCTGGTGAGGATGTTATCATTGGAAAGACCACTCCGATCTCTCAGGATGATGCGCAGGGCCAATCTGCACGTTATACAAGACGTGATCACAGCATAAGCTTACGTCATAGTGAAACAGGAATTGTTGATCAAGTAAGTTTTACCAAATGTTCTTTACTCTATTTCATATTGGCCTGCATTATGGAAGTTTAATGTGTCTCAGATGTTTGGAAACAAATAATCATCTTTAACGTGCCTTGTTTTTATTATCTTTGTTTCTGCATTTGGGAAGGATCTGCAGTCCCCGTGTCTTTATCAATAAATGATTTTCCATCTGAAAAGAAGGACACATTGAGCGTAGGAGGAGGGGGACAATTATGAAATTTGAATCTTAGATGGGAGGAAAAAATCATGTCTACATCTGAAGTGTGATGGTCTAATACTATAACTATGAAAGTTGGATGGGAGGGAAAAATCATATTTACACTTGAAGTGCGATGATCTAATCTAAATTACCTAAAAGTTGAATCTCTTAGCATGGTTTTGCACGCTCATGGACCTTGTTTGTTCTGTAGGTTCTGCTGACAACAAATGCTGATGGGTTGAGATTTGTAAAAGTGCGGGTGAGATCCGTTCGGATACCACAGATTGGTGACAAATTCAGTAGTAGACATGGTCAGAAGGGGACTGTTGGAATGACTTATACCCAAGAAGACATGCCATGGACTGTGGAAGGCATCACACCTGATATCATTGTCAATCCACATGCTATTCCTTCTCGAATGACGATTGGTCAGCTTATTGAGTGTATCATGGGAAAGGTTGCTGCTCACATGGGAAAAGAAGGAGATGCTACACCTTTTACAGATGTTACTGTAAGTAACTTCCTCTCATCACGGCTTTATCCAGTGTGGCTGATTGGAACTCGCCATCCCCCCCCCCCCCAAAAAAAAAAAACCAAAAAAAAAAATTAAAAAAAAAAAATAATAATGCCTTGTTATGTAGCCAATATATACGAAGACTAGGTTGATCACCTGTGCTGACGTTCTAGCTACAGGGGCATCAGTCTGAGATGGTGGATGGAAATATATATCCTTAACAAGAGCTTTGGTTGCAATAACGCAATTAGTATTTTTTTTCTTTTGTTTTTATTTATTTTTTGGTTCATCCTGTAGGGTTATCATCTTAATTTTTTATCTTTGATTGTGGATATGGGTAACTGGCACTAATTTAGGGTCAATGGGTTTCTTGCAAAAGGGATAAAAATTGCAGTGCTTGTCTCCCTTTTATGGTCTCCATCTTTTTTCTTGACTAGGAGAGATTACTGAGTTAACCTTAAAATATATTTCCTCTAACTACTGTCCAGGTGGACAATATCAGCAAAGCTCTACATAAATGTGGATATCAAATGCGTGGTTTTGAGACCATGTATAATGGTCACACAGGCAGGCGTCTAACTGCCATGATTTTCCTTGGCCCCACATATTACCAAAGACTGAAACACATGGTTGATGACAAGATACATTCACGTGGCCGAGGTCCTGTGCAGATCCTCACAAGGCAGCCTGCAGAAGGGCGATCTCGTGATGGAGGTCTCCGATTTGGAGAGATGGAACGAGATTGCATGATAGCCCACGGTGCTGCACACTTCCTAAAGGAGAGATTATTTGATCAAAGTGATGCATATAGAGTCCATGTTTGTGAACGTTGTGGTTTGATAGCCATCGCAAATCTTAAGAAGAATTCTTTTGAATGCAGAGGCTGCAAGAACAAAACTGACGTTGTTCAGGTCGATAACACTATCTGTTGTGCTGGTCTATTACATAACATTTTTTTCATTAATTTTTATCATGTCAATACATGTCCCAGCGCTGAAATATTGACATCATGCTGTTGCCGCTGCTGATTTTGCACACAGGTTTACATTCCTTATGCTTGTAAGCTACTTTTCCAAGAGCTAATGGCTATGGCCATAGCCCCAAGAATGCTGACGAAGGATATTAAATCCTCCAAAGATCAAAAGAAGAAAGGAGCCTGAGATGGATGTTCAGCGAGGCTGCTAGTCTTTGATTGACACTCTGGCTGACTATGATAATGGGTTTTATGCTAGAACGGAGATGAAATTGGGTTTTGCTTTGAAGACTTGCTCTGCTGGCCAAGGGGGAAAAAAATAGCAGGACTTATTTTTGTTGTATTTTTATTTCATCGTCTCCTAGTTATCTTGGCTGAAGTGGAACTTAACAATGCGAGCAGAGAGCAATGAGTTTAAGGCTTGTACAGATTAATGTATTGTTTGATATGAAGAGAAGGGAAAAGAACTAGGGCATTGACTAGTTTTTTGAGTGTATTTTTTGTAGTATGAACAAATATGGAATTAAGGGAATATTTACAAAGGACCTCTTCATTATCCGTCAAGCAGTCTGCGGAAATGAAGCGGAGGGAAACCGTTGAGTATCTTATTCTGTTCTCTTCCTCTCTACTCGTCTTGGTTTTTGATTTTCCTTTTTGGTTTTGTGGTTTTTGCGTTGCAAGGTATTTTGTTAGCCAGAGTTCACATCTCATTTACCCTATTTCATATACTTTTATTTGAAATGGCATTGTTTTTCATATGCTCAGGAAATTTGACCAAGGTATTACAAGTTAAAAGGTGTAAAGAAAGCTGTGACCATGCTCCAGCTTAGTTAATTGTCGCGAATTTATGCGTAGGAATTTGGACGTTTTTCTATTTTTAGTTTGTTATAATCTAATTTTGTACTCTTTTAGTCTTTAATATAAGATCTATTTAACTAATTTGATTAGATTAAAGAAGTTAGGTTAGTTAATTATAAAAAATATGACATAGTTTTTTTAGAGTATCATAATCATTTTTTTTAATATCTTTTTTTTTTTACTTAATTATGATTGAGAGAGTATTCATAGAGATAATTTAGAAAAAATTAAAAAAATATGATAAATAAGTCTTATATTTATGATCAAAATTAACTCAATAATTAGATCCTATATTAAATATTAGAAGAGTACTTATTGTATGCTTGCATCGTTCGAGTAATGAGTGCTAAGATATTTACTTGCACATTCAAGTGGCCGAATAATGTCAACTTCTGAAACATCCTTAAAAATATTTCGAACCGTCTCTCTAAACGTAATTCGCACTGAATAAATTATTTTATTTTTTATTGTAAACACATTCTATGTTCTTCCACACGATTATTTGAATTAGTAGTTGTGGAAAGTATAAATAGCATAACGGAATTACAAGTATCATTGCAGCTCTTATAGGGATAGGTGTTGCAAATAATTGCAAAGGAGAGCACCATTAAGAGCATTGCCGTAACACCCTATAATCATCCATATCGTTGCTTTCACCCGTTAAAGGCCTTCAACACTTCAAAAGGGTTCCAATTTCATCACGCTTTAGACAAACATGATCTGAAGTCAACTCTATAATAATAAGGTCTATGTTAGAAGGGAAAGGCTGACTCGTATTGCCATTCTAATAAAGGACTGGAACTTCATCGATACCATTAACTTACACTACATTTGAACATTACTGACAAGTTTCAAGCTCGTAAAATTGAAGCCACTAAACAAACTTAATGGAAATGACACTCAATAAAACAGAAAATGAAACTTCAATCCTTGGAATGTGAAGATGATGGCACATCAATTAATTGGAAACCTGTTTTGATGGGATAATCGTACGTATCTCGGAGGATTTACAGTGATTGGCATTCTGTAGTACGATGTAAGTGAAGAAGATATCGCAGCCTTGAAAGATGTTCAAGGCTTGCAAGCAATCCCTCCATGGCAGTTCCACCAAGCTTATGCTTCCCAGAAGTAGAATACCGACAACTATTGTTCAGCCTTAGCTCTTCTAAAGATCACAAACTATCTAGTGGAAAACGTAGATGTGATGCGCCAAAAGGCATGCAACCTCCATCACTATGTCTTCCAAGAGATCTCGAGCCATCTCAGAATGTTCAGAAGTTTCAACAAAGTTTTGCAGCAATCCAGATAGAATGGTTAATTTCATTCAAATGCCCAATGAACGAGGGAAATTCATAGATAGCTGTCCTAATTCAGTTCCACTGTATCATATACTCTTATGCCAGTGAAAATTCCGAGTCTTGAGAGTTCAGAGAGAGGGAGGGAGACAATGATTGAAATATGCTTCTTTATGATATATGGCATTGGAAACATGGGGAGCTCTTCTCTGAATTTCCCAGGCTCATGTTCCTGGAAATTCGAAAACAATCAAGTAAAAGATCATATCAAATGGCTTCTCAGAAGGTTCTTTTGGCTCTTAAATGAATAGAAAACTGAACAAAAGTACCAACATATATACTTGGACCACATGCCAAATGTTTTCTGACGCAGCTATTTGGCAACTCAGGCATAAACAAGATTTCAGCCAAAAATATGCTTATCGCAATAACATCAAAAGGAAAATTTTCCCAACGAAGTTATCTTATTTCTTCCAGAATGACTCAATGCCTTGAAAAGATGCTAGCCATTCTCTTCATGCTTAGAGTTATAATCAGAAGAAATATTGGCTTGTGCACCAAGAATAGTCAAATATAGCTCTTCAACTTTTGACACATCAAGAGCTGTGCCTTCAATAACCTTGGTACGCTGTCAATCAAAATCATAATTCAAAACAGGATTAAATAAAGCATTCCAGCATTTAAATGTTTCTAATGAAAATAGTTGATATAAATTTGACTCTTACCATGTACTTGATAAATATCTTCAAGATTCCATAAACAGCTATGTTTTACAAGATTTCCATAGATTTCCCAGGAATGTCGTCTCAGTCAATTTCTTGTATCAACTCATGCAGTGATATGGTTGACTCGTAAAAATAAGACACTTAACAACTCACTTAATTCACTTCTTGAATTAAGTCATGCATTTATTTAATTCATTTCTTGAATTAAGTCATGCATTTATTCAACCAATTCTTTGAAAACAGGTACAAGTCCTTTTCTTTGTGAACATGTTACTCCACCCAACCCGTTTCTTCTATCGAGTCATGCATTGCTACAATTAATTTTGAAAAATAGATAAAGTTAAAAAGGCTTTGTCTTAGTTAACCAATTACCTTTTCAACTAGCTCAAGACATTATTTTGAATTAAAACATGCATCAATGCAATTCATTTCAAAAAAATGATTAGAAAAGCTTTAATATAAACTCAAAACTATTTCTTGTATCAAGTCATGCATTGACTCAATTCATTTCTTCACAATAGTTAAAAGAGATTTATCTTGAAAAATTTTTAATCTACTCCACCTCTTTTAACTTTGAAAAAAAATATATCTGCACAACCTAATCCATCAAAACTCACTTTCAATGCATACTAACTTATTACACAAAAAATAGTTTTGAGCTTTTCCAATTGGCTTTCCCATTCATTTTTTTCTTACATTGAAAAGAAAAAGTCAAATTTCTAAAGCTAATGGAAGGCCATTAGCATATCTCATTGACTTTCTCTTATAGTTATCTGTCAAGATAACTATGAATTCTTTTTTCTGATTCCACCCATTCTTAAACTCCAACTGCTCGTGACCTAATAATGATTGTCGATGTGCATGTTGTTTGTTAAGATCCATAGCATCCAACTTCGTCAACCCTAGAGGGACAGTTTCTTCTATTACGCCTCTGCACATGAAAAACGTCAAAATATAAAATTAATAGTGTCACCTATCTTAAAATATCTTCTATAACCAAAAAAACAAAAAAACTTTTCATCCGCACAAAATAATTCTTTTTCCATTTAAAATACGCTTTTTTAAGAGTCATTCCTGCTATCCTTCCTCTTCATCAAACGACTATCCACGCACCCATAATTAATCAGATATGCATCTATAATTACCAAATAATGCAGGACTTATCTAACCTTCAAGTGAAATGTAATTTAGCTAGTGCTAACTCAAATGTAAAAACAAAAGTAATATTGAACAAGTGATTTAAATGAGCTGTATCTCCTAATTAGAGTACCTCTTGAGATTCCTCTTTTTCTGTTCTGCGGATTCCACCTGGTAACTGCCTATCTTCTTCCTTACATCTGACCGGTATGTCTCATGCGCCATGAAGATAATAAGATCTCGCCGATGATCTGAAGAATACCGAAGAATTTTGACAAGCTTGTTCAAGAACCATGCGGGAGACTCAGAGTTACTAGAGAAGATGGCGAGGAAAAAAGCTGAGTCTACAGCAACCTCAGGAGGCGATGAGCACAGCTGATTGTCCCCTGGTTCGAATCTGTTTTGGCAAATAGCAACTTGAAGTATCCTCATCTCTGGCGATTTGGACGCGTACGGAGCCGATTCGATGGATAAGTTCAGCTTGACCGCCGTCGAGATTCGATCTCTTAGAAACCTTAAGATTCATCAATGTCCACCTACTGCCTCACCTCGTTGAAAGCTTTATGGGGAAGACTGTATTATGATTTTGATCAAAACATCTTTGCTTAAGCCTTAAAAATCAACGCCAAAAGTAGCCAACCAGCTTCTGTTCCCCTCTTTTTACTTTTTTTTCCTTGATTGAATGTTCCCATTGGTTGCCCTTGGAAATTACCAGATGACAAAATAAAAGATCCGGCCCAATTATCGAACTTTTTATCTTTTGGGCCCAGGCAGCATCCCCAGCATACCCATGCCTTTTTCCCCTTAACAAAAAAATTTACTTACCAATAAGAGTTGATCCAGTTCATAAAAAGGTCAGCTTATAACTTATAAAGCCGTGAGTTTAAATTTTACTGCTGATATGAGGACCTTATTAATGGGTAATTTGTAAGTATTTCTATAAGCATTCTTTGAAGCTGGAAGCATGTCATAGTCCTGGTAAGTCTATAAGACCCAACTCACATAAACTTTTTTGTTAAAAAAAAAAGATTAACTTAAATGGTTCTTACTACTAGCTTTGATTATTAATATAAGAACTCATTTGACTTTTATTTTAGTCCTAAATATAAGACCCTAATTCTCTGTGTCTCTCATATTTATCTATTTTTTTCTAAGGTAGTCCTTATAATAATGATAGTTCTAACTAATACACTTGATTAGCAAGGATATTTTAGAAAAGATAATAATTATTATAAATAACTAACTCAATTAGTTTCCTTAATTTACTCAAATTAGTGAACTAACGCTTATATTAAGAACTAGAGGCAGTACTACTTTTGTTTTTAATATAAAACTAGTTGACTAATTTAAGTATATTAAAAAAATTAATTAAGTTACTTATTTGTAATAAATAGCTGTTGTCTTTCCTAAAATACCCTTGCTAATCATGTGTATTAGCTAGAACTACTATTTGGTGAAACATTAAACATGTGCAACTACTACAAGAATTATCTTTAAAAAATAGATAAATATGAGAGACAGAGTGGATTTGAGTCTTATATTTAGGATAAAATTAAAAGTCAAACTAGCTCTTATATTAAGGACCTGAAGTAGTACCATATTTTAACTTATGAGGTTAATCTATTAGGAATGGCTAGTTTTTCACAATATAACAAATTAATGTTCAAATGCCCATTAGAGAAAGTGCCCATATTCAATGTCTAATAATTCCTCAAGCAAGATTGCTTCTAATATAAAGATATCTATGCCTGGCCCAAAAAAACTATTCTCTTAGATTTTTAATTTAGTACTTATGACTTTTTTTCTCTTGATTAAATCATTTACTCAGCCTCTGTAATTAATAAAGTAAAATTAAAAAATTAAATCAAGAAGAAACAAATAAATTCCAAATTAAAAATTAAATTTAGGTAACTGTAAAATGATTGTTTTTTTTTCAAACAAAAAAAAAAGCTAAAGGGTAAAGAGGAAGGGAAGAGATTGAAGGATTAGAGAAGGGGAAGAAGAGATGGAGAAGAGAAAGTAAGGCGAGAAAAAAACTTTCTGTCAATTCAATATCTAAAAATTAAAGTATAATGAGAAACCTAAAATTATTTATACTAAAATAATAATAAAATGAAAATAATAACAACAACTAATCCTAATAATAAAAACATTAAAATACTGATAAATCCTAAATAATTCAAATATCCTAAAAATATAATTAAATCATAATTATTTCTTCTCATATCTTATCATTTCACACCCACTTGAAGAATTCAGTTCCGGACGAGTTGAAAGTGACGCACAAAGTTGGGGAGGAAAGAGCGTGACTAGACTTTAACATGGGGCTTCCTTTTGGAAATCCCTTCTAATAAGTGAGGTACTAGAAGAAGAGACATTGATGAAAATAAAGGTTTGAATCATAGAGAGCATCTGAAAAACTCTTCCAGCAGCCAAGATACATTTGGAGTGATCTGTTCAACAATGGGGAGATTTTAGGAGGTGTAGCATTCAGAAGAGGTGACACTAGAGAATGATAAAAATGATTCTCGCTAGCCATAAGTTGAAAAGAATCCACTTGCATGTGTTCTAATTGAACAACCTGATCATTGCTCAAAAAATTATTATCGCTAGCGATTACAAGATCAGAAATCTCACTCACTTGAGTTTCAAGTGCGTCCAATGGCGCCTGTTGAGGATCACAAATAGGCTCCACATGAGGCGTGGGCAACAATTCAGTTGACGTTATAATCTCATCCTCTAGATTAGAAGGAGTAGCTTCTATTTTCATTAACTTGCTTGCTTCTTCCATTTGCCCGTGTTTCTCCTTGAACCGCTCTAGCATCTGCTTAATATTAGCTATTACTGCATCTAGATGTTGGTCGCTTTCAGCTTGTGCTTTACAATATTTAGCTTCAAGCTTGAGTTGTTCTTCATATTCTTCTTCAACTCTGCAGTGCCTTTCAGCTCTCGTGTAAGCTTCTTTAACTTCTTATTGTTCAATGCAGCCATAATGATCAATATATTGATTTTGTCTATAATACACATCATTATAACATCGAACACCATATCTATGTTGTTTACCATTAGTGAACTTAGTAATGTTCGTCATCTTTATACCATTGTGAGCTCGCATTGTATTGTTGACGCTGGGTGCAGTACTTTCTTCGACACCGACTATAGAAGCATCTTCTAGGATGCATATCTAAAGCCTAGTAATGGCAATGTGGTTCTTTACCTTTTTTTTATTCTATTCCTTCTCTCTCTCTATTTTTTTGGGGTACTTTTTCCTTCTTTTTCTTTTCTTGTTTTCCTATTTCTTTCTATCTCTCTTATTTTTTTGCCTCTTTTTTTTCCCTTTTTCCCCCTTTTTTTAGACTGTAAAATAAAATCAAGAAATTAAATAAATAACTTTCCTAAAAAAGTTGCAGCAAATAGTAAAATAACGACAACAGTTAAGAAAGTAACCTCCAAAATATGCCAAATAGTATAGTAATCTACGATGCAGCTTAAAGAGACTGAAAAAGAAAATTTACCTCAATGGTACTTTTATGATTCTCCTTGATTTCTGGGCAGGCTAAATTGAAGAACCATTAAATATGGGTTTGAAAGTATAATTTTGCACAAGAACTGGGGCTAAAATTGTAGTTTCTCCAAAAATTGAGTCTAAAGGTGTAAATTTTGTGAAAACCCAATCTAGAACGATAGTAGTGCGAAGGCACTGGGAGCCACGCTCAAAGCTTCTAGCCCCGCATGAGGGTGCGCGATGGATCAAATGACAGCAAACTTTAGGGATCAGATCGTGTTTGAGTATACGGTCCTATTGGAAGTGGTGTCATTGCGAACAGAGGTCAGTGGCATTGTGAATGACGCTGGGAAGTAGTGGTGACGCTAGTTTTGGACAGTGAGAACATTGGCAGTGCATGGTGGCAAGTATGAGGGCTGATGGACGTGAAAATTGAGGACGGCGAAGATGATTACGGTGGAGGTGTGGTGAAAGAACACCAGAAAGTAGGTAAACAGAGGAAGGATGCGGTGGGTGTGGGGTTTTAGTTCAAGGGCACATTTGGTAAGCCAGAAAAAAAAAAATTGTAGGCGTGTAGGATACACACAACTAGGCTCTAATACCAAAATTGATGTAAAACAAAAGAGAAAAGACAAGAAATAGAGAAGCAAAAAAAGAAGAAGAAGAAGGAAGGAACCATATTGCCATGTTACTCAGCTCTAGAGATGGATCTCAAAGGATGCTTCTGTAGATAGTGTCGAAGAAAGTATGGCACTCGGCGCTGACAATATAATGTGAGCTCCCGATGGTATAAAGATGACGAGTACTACTATGAGTTCACTAATGGTCGACAATATAGATATGGTGTTCAATGTTACAATGATGTGTATTATGGACAAAATGAATATTTTGATAATTGTGGGTGCATTGAACAACAAGAAGTTGAAGAAGCTTAATTAATTAATATTTTCTGAGATTGTTGGTTGTATTTCTTAATTTGGAATTGAATTTTCTATGATTGGATTTGGATTATGCAGTTTGAAATTTATGTGTGTGTGTGTTTACTGTTCAAGTTTTATGTGGTTGTAAAGTTCTTTGGTAGTTTGGATGAATTGTATGACTGTATTTTGCTTGTTAAGTATCTCAAGTTAAGTGTTCTTTACATAGAGAATCAAATTGCATTAATCTGAGCTTAATTGCATGCTAATCAATTTCTAATGATGTTCTTAATTGATGGTTGTTAACTAGAGTACTAGGACAACCATTGACTAAGAATGCTAGATTTAACCAATGACTAAGGTTTGTTTTTAATTTAGTAAATAATTAACTCTCAAACCATTTTGAGTAAGGATAACCCAATTTTTATTTTTCAAGAGGCATTCACTCATTTTTTTTTCCACAAAACCAAATTTTTATTGCTTGTCATCTTTTAATCTAGCTCATTTCTTTTAATTTCAATTTTACTTCACTTTTTCACTCTTTTTATATAAAAGAAAATCTACAAAAAGTATTTAGAAAAGTTTTCAATCTAATCTGCAAGGTAGCTTTCATATTAAAAAAAATCAACAAAATCCCTCTTTTATTTAGTAATTTTGATTTTAATTTACTTAGGATCTAATTTTTGGTTCTAATAAGAGAGCGACTTTAGTTTGTATCACTATAGTGCACTTTAAATTGAATTTAATTTGACCCCCAAGACGACATGAGGATCATGATGCTTTGTAGTTAATTATTTTTTAAATTTGCTAAATTTGTTTTTCTTTAGCAATTTTGATTCATGATACCATGCATTTTGTTTAAAATTTCATGGCAAACAGATATCCTTTAGATTCCTGTATTGGATTCAAAAGTTTTACTCTGAAAGAGCTCTATTTGTCAGGTTGAGATTATTATTGTTGTTTTGTTGGTGATAATTGTTGATTTGACACTTATTAGTTGGTTGATTGGAGAATGATAAAAACCATTTGGGATTGCTTATATTTAAAAGAAAATTCTACCGAAATTTTTTAAAATAAAAAGCAGTCCTTTTAATTTGTAATTAAGTATTAGTCAAATATAGTTGTTGACTAATACTTAATTATTTTATCTATTTGATTCAAATAACATAACATTTGAATTAAATAATTAGAAG